TAATGGAAGGCATTTATTAGAAAAGGTGCCTTCAATATACCTTTAAACTTAGTAATCCATTACTGAAGGCATTTGTTAATAACAAACGCCTTCAAAATTTTCTCACTAAATAGTTTGAGAATTATTAAAGGCATCTTTTATTGTAAAATGCCTTTTATATATCGCCACACAAATTGTAACACAATTATTGAAGGCATATATTTAAGATAGATGCCTTTAACAATTCTTATCACAGTTTCTAAATAATTACTGAAGGCAGTTTTGGAAAATAACACCTTCAATAATTTTTCTAAAAAAATTTTCTTGGATTATTAAAGGCATCTTTTATTATAAAACACCTTCAATATACCACGATGGTAATGGAAGGTGTTTATTAGAAAAGGCACCTTCAATATACCTTTAAACTTAGTAATCCATTACTGAAGGCATTTGTTAATAACAAACGCCTTCAAAATTTTTCCACTAAATATTTTAAGAATTATTAAAGGCATCTTCTACTGTAAAATACTTTCTATATATCGCCACACAAATTCTAACACTGTTATTGAAGGCGTATATCCAAGAAAAATGCCTTTAATAATTCCTATCACAGTTTATAAATAATTACTAAAGGCGGTTGCAGAAAACAATGCCTTTAATAATTTCCCTAAAAAAATTTTCTCGGATTATTAAAGGTGTCTTTTATTATGACATGCCTTCAATATACCACGATGGTAATGGAAGGCATTTATTAGAAAAAGCACCTTCAATATACCTTTAAACTTAGTAATCCATTACTGAAGGCATTTGTTAATAACAGACGCTTTCAAAATTTTCTCACTAAATATTTTGAGAATTATTAAAGGCGTCTTTTACTGTAAAATACCTTCTATATACCACCACACAAATTTTAACACTATTATTGAAGGCGTATATTTAAGATAGACGCCTTTAATAATTCTTATCATAGTTTGTATATAATTACTGAAGGTGGTTTCAAATAACAACGCCTTCAATAATTTTCCTAAAAAATTTTTTTTCGGATTATTAAAGGCGTCTTTTATTATAAACCACCTTCAATAATTTGTTATAAACTTTGGAAATCCATAATTATTGAAGGTAATTTTTTACTAAAAATACCTTTTATAATTTTTAAGAAATATAACAGGTATTTTTTTAATAAAAAATACTATAGACACCTAATTGGGTCCAGGCCCAGATCAATTGGGCCTGGCCCAAATGGGTAAGCCCAATTCAATTTTTATCTTGTATTATTTTTTTTCTTTCTTTTCCTTTTGTATTTTATGTATTTTATTATTTATTATTATTATTATGTATTAATATATGTATATCTTTATTTATTTATTTATTTATTTTTTTCTGTTTATTTTATTTATATAGTTATATATTTATTATTATAATTTATTTATTATTGTTTTTTTCTTTTTTTTTTCTTGTAATATTTTTTGGATTTATCTTATTGTATTTTTAATTATCTGTTAATATTTTTTTTCTTTCTTGTTCTGATTTTTTGTTTATCTGATTATATTATTTTTTTTTTTCTTTGAGGGCTGTGATTGAAAGTGGAAGAATCCCACTGTGAATGGGAATTCAATCAAAAGAGTCCAGATTGGATTCAAAGATTGAATTCCCGTCCAAAGAGGAATTGGGATTGATCAGAAACTCCTGATCAATCCCTATATAAAGGACCCCTGGAACAGATGCAAAGACACAGAACAAACAGTGAGCAAAGCTACTGATTTGAGAGAAAAAGAGGCGTATAGGAAGCTAAGAAAAGGTTTAGGAGTGTTCGGGGAGTTAGCAGAAATTTTTTGAGAATTTTTGGCGATTTTTTTTCTGGGAATTTCTGGAAAATTCCAGATTCCGGTGAATTTTTCGGCAAAGTTTGAATTTTTCGACGAAAATTTCGGCCAACCTTGAAGTTTCCGACGAAGAATTCCAGAAACCGGTGACCTTCCGACAAACTTCCGACGAAAAAACCCAGATTCCGGCGACAAAACCCAGAATCCGGTGAATCTTCAACCGAAGTTCTTCGGCCTTTTAGAGAGAAGGGAGAGGAAAAAGGAAGAAGAGAGAGAGGGGAGGAGCGTTCTGCCGAAAAATAGAGGGAAGTGCCTTTTATACCCTCTCAAAACGACGTCGTTTTGGCCTTAAGTAACCCAGAGGATCCGCGCGTTTTGCCGAGATCCGACCCGACCCGAGCGTCGACCCGCTTCCTGACCCGCGCGTGCCAGCCCCCTCCGAGCCGAGCCGAGCCGAGCCGAGTTGAGCTCCAAAGCCGCTCCCCCGAGTCGTTTCTCTTCCTTGAGCAGAGCCGAGCCAAGCCGCGATCCGAGCCGCTCCAGGTTTTTTTTTTTCAATTTTTTTTTGAATTTTTTTTCGTTTATTTGTTTTTTTATTTTTTTTTTATTTTTTTATTAGATTAGGTTTATTTATTTTTTTTACCTTTATTTTATTTTTATTTTTGTTTTACTTTTCTTTATTTTTTATTTTTATTTATTTTCACTTTTATTTTTTTTATTATTCTATTTTCTTTAAATAAAAATCAAAATTTCAAAAAAAATATTTTTAGGGAAAAGTTGAAAGTATCAATTTTCCTTGAAAATCAAAATTTCCAAAAAAATATTTTTAGGGAAAAGTTGAAAGTATCAATTTTCCTTAAAAATAAAATTTCAAAAAAGGGTTTTTTTTGAGGAAAAGTTGAAAGTATCAATTTTCCTTGAAAATCAAAGTTTTCAAAAAATATTTTTGAGGAAAAGTTGAAAGTATCAATTTTTCTTAAAAATAAAATTTCAAAAAAAAAAAAGTTTTTTGAGGAAAAGTTGAAAGTATCAATTTTCCTTGAAGATAAAGGTTTCAAAAAATATTTTCGGGGAAAAGTTGAAAGTATCAATTTCCCCTGCACAAAAATAATCATTCTTTTCTTCCTTTCTATCTTGATTTTAATTTTGATTTTTTCTTTAACTAATTCGCGATAGAGCCTCTGCAAGTGAAACAGTAGTTTTCCTTGCATACTCTTGAGGTGAGGGAATTTTCTCAATTTTCTGCTAAAAGTATTAGAGTCAATTGAGAATAATTTCCAATAATTAATTACCTGGTAAATTTTTAAGGCTCATTGGATAACACAAATTTAAGCTGGTACCATGTTTTGATGGGTGTTGTGAGGGTGCTATAATCTTCCTCACACGTAACCGAACTCCCGAACCCTGTTCTGGTTAGTAGACCTGAACCTATTCTTTTAAGGACCCTTAAACTTAGGTGTTTCCTGAAAGGATAGATTCCTTAGGTGGCCAATCGTACCTAGATAAAAAAGATTGGTGGCGACTGCCTAAAAGTCAATGTCTAGCGATAGATCCCCGGATCTAGACGTTATGATAGCTTGGCGACTCCGCTGGGGACTTTGAGAGTCAGGCCAGCAAATAATTTGTGTTATCCAAAAGCCTAATAAAATTGAACCTTGTTGTATATATGTGCTATTAGTCATTCATGTTTATTTATCTTGCTAATTATGTCATTCATATGCATGTGCATAACATGAGCTCTACACCCGAGCTCCATCCCTCTAGGAGGGAGTAAAGTACCTATTGCTTTCGTGAGGTCTAATGCCTCCGCAGTGGCTAGCGAAATACTCCCACTCAAATTGAACCTTCCGCTTGTAGGCTGTAATGGGTGAGGATTAGGGTGCCTTACTAGTCTGTGATGGACAAGGATGTAAGGAACAATTTGAGGACCTTTAGACTTTGACCTTAAACCACATATAGTGAACCTTAAGAGTGCCTAAACCTAGGATAG